AAGGAGTGCCCTGAAGAGGAAATGTGTTATTACCACTTTTGAAGGAGAGAAAATTATCTAAAAGGCGAGCTATGCGCGGGCTTTGTAACCCAATTAGTTCCAGAGATACAGCTCTGTGAATATTGGCAAGTTTTCAAAAAAAAAGTGAAAAATCAAATAATTGCATTAAAAGATTCTTTTCGTCATTACAATTTAACTTAAAATCGTGTTAATGGAGAACTGTAACAATCATTTTCTGGCGATCTTTGAGGGAGGCGAAAAACCATCGCTTGAACTTGAACTTCCTTGTTCGTTATCATTAGATTGAAGAGAGGAAACGCTATCAAGGTTGTCTCGAGGTGATTCCACATCTGCGTACATGCTCTCTTCATCCAGCTCCTCGACTCATGGTATGTTCATGTAATTGATGCCTTTGCAGTGTTTGCAGATTGAAGAGTAGCTCATACCCGCCTTCATGCAAGAACACGAACCAGAGCAACCTCCAGGACAGATTCTTCCGAAGAAGCGAAGGAGCTGTGTAATCATGGAGATGGGAAGTGGTCCTGATCTGTGGATGTCCATCCTCGAACTGTTGCATTCTTTTTGACGCTAAACCACTTCTGTACCTAGTGGTCGCACGAAAAGAAATTTGCTGGCATCTTTGGTGGGTGGAAGTCATGCTAGATTGATTTTAGTATTTGCAGAACCCTTAAAAAAGTTGTTGAATCACATTATGTGCAGGGGCAGTTGACCATCTCCTTCCTAGAGGGCCATTGTAATAAATTCGCCTACTTTCTCTACTTTCTCTACTTTCTCATGGCTGGCGTCCGCCTGCAGAAACACATCCATGAGATTCGACTTATGTGATAAGACGAAGCAGAATTTCATTGGTTTTAACGAGCGACTTGACAAACGACAAGAGTCCACATGTTAGATCCGGTCGTTTTATTTTTTTTTGTGTAGGTAGGAAAATGCTCCTTATGCACATTTTGGAAAGAAGTTCCAGAGTAGTGCGAGGCTCTCCCTTAGAACATACTCACTAAAACCCCACCTAAGGCTTCGGCTACTAAGGCCATTATCCTATAACCCTTTTCATTGTGATCGCAGGTTCTTCCACTTCAACAATCAAAGTTGGTTGAAGATTCCAGCGCCTCGCATAAAAGTTAACACACTCTTGCAGTGATCATGGTTACTAAAATTGGTTTCCCATATTTCATTCACTCTCAATGCATCACGTAGGTTTGTGTATTTTACACAAACACAAAGTATGTGTTCCGGTGTCAAATCGACACCACATCTATCACATGACGGTTGTTCTCCACCTGCCAACAAAAATCCATGCGTGATAGCGGTGTGTCCCAACCGAAACCGATACAGCTTTGTCAAATCAACTCTATTCAAGTTGGGTAAAAGTAGTGCTCCTAGATTTGGTTTTACTCTTTTTAACGATGTGTCGGTCCCCGTCCACATCTCCTGTCAGCGCTCAAAAACACAGTTCTTCACAGCCACCTTCATGATATCTAATATATCATCATTTTGTAACTGCATCTCCTCTATGCACTGTCTTGCTCTTTCGCCTAGCGATCTACGAGTATATAACCGTGTAGGTCTGGTTCTACCAGTAAGTAAATTATAATTTGGGTGTTGATCATTCAGACATACTTTCCGGTAATAGTTTATTATCAATTGCTTTCGACGAAGAGCAAGCGGTAGAATGTTTGCTTCCACGTTGAGAGCGCTGATGGGACTAGTTGGAAATGCCCCGAGGGAGTATCTAATTGCTAGATTTTGAATTTTATCCAGCTTACTCAGCAACATGAAACTGCCTGTAGAATAGCTATAGCACCCATAGTCAATCCGTGACAGGATCAATGCCTTATAGATGGCAAGAAGAAATTTAGGATGAGTCCCCCATTTGAGATGTGCGAGGACCCTTAGCACATTTAGTGATTTCCTGCTTGATGTTAAAAGATTCTCCAAATGCCTAGTCCATCTTAACTCCCTGTCAAAAGTGAGCCCTAAAAATTTAATGTCACTGGGTACACTAATAATATGATCTTTCAAAAACATGTGATTGTCCACCAAGGAAAGGAATTAGAAGTCTGATTGAATCATGATACCCTAAAAACCAAGAGTATCCTTGGTATTACGTTTGTAGACACCCTCGCTCAAAGACAAGTAGAGCTGCATGCACCACAGCGGATAATACACAGAAAAGTAAATTGGCTAAATACCTATTCATAATCAATCAAAACTATTTGTGCTGCACTATGCCATTTAATCCGCCAAACTTCCTTTCTTTCTTTCCGACAATCAGGAGATGAAATTGATTTTTGTGTAGAAAATCGGAACCACGACGCATTCTTCAGTAGCAGATGTTTCTTACGAAAAGCAAAAAAACACCCTCTTCCCTTGTCTGAAAATTTTGAATTATGGATTCCATGCATTATTTCCAAATTTCCAATTGAAACATTGTATGCCAAAACGCAATACTGTATTTAATGGCAATACCTATGTAGTACCATAGTGTAAAGAATAGAATTACACTAAGGTAGTACACGAACATTGTTCCTTGTGGGTATGCAACCCTCTATAAACGGCCGAAACATAAATAAGCTGCAAAACAATATTTATCTTATATGGACCTCCAAAGCCGCTTACTGTAAAAAAATATTCAAAATAATAATGAACACGTATGGATCAAATATTAAAATCAAGTGTTCCAGAACTTACAAGAATGGCAAAGGAATCACTGCAGGAAATGAAAAACGGTGGTAATATCAATATGTATCCGCCGGACTACTTATATAGGATCTTATAATTTCCAACATAAGTCTATTATGCAGATTTGTAATTTTGAGACTTTCCCACAGTGTTTTTCTGTCGTTTCCAAAAGCCGTGTAAGTTGCTTTTCTATTGCCCAGACCTTCTCCAATTACCTGGTTGCTTTGTACCAGGTAAGTAGTATCTCTATAAAATATACCTTCAAAAAAATTCAAGTTCTTTGAGCTTGATCTTCCTTATTTGAACGTGAATCTGTGAGTTGATCGAAATTCGTCTGGGTTAATTTTTTTGTGGGAACAATATTCGAACGGAGCGAATATTGTCACAGAAATGGAAGGCAACTCAACATTTATTCCAAGAGCGAATTCTCCGGGGTCGAGTTGTGTTGAACTGTGTTTCCTTTGGTAAGTGAGTATTTTCAGCAGACAAATTTACCGTGTCGAATTTGTTCTAGTACAGTATTGCCAAACAACGTAAAATTCAATTAACTTTGCAATACTTTCCCAGCTACCCCCATTATATTTTTCATTATATCGACTGGACATATTGTGTGGGCTGTAATTTTTATGAACTTCAAATATTTCTGTTTCCTTCTTCGATTTTGTTCAGGGTCCACAAATCGCATATAAAATAAATGTGCTTATAGCACTTTTTCAATACTAAAATATTAATTTTTTTAGACAATTCACCTTTATGTAGCAAACTGTTTATTGAGCTACAAGTTACCTAAAAGTACACTCTTCTAGCATTTAATAGATTGCAGTTATTTTAAGAAAAGGGGGTTTGGGAGGTACAGAGTACCCTCCAGGGAAGTGGAGGGTTCAGGGTTTCTCCCGGAAAATATTTAAAAATTTGACTTCAGATACACTGTGTGTCTATGGTATGTAGAAGGGCTTTTGGCTGCACATGGATGGAGGTCTGCCATGCACAGGGTCCCTAACGGAAAGGCGAACGGGCATGGGTATATACGGTGATTGACCTAGAGCTGACATCGGCTTCTCGGCCCTTGGTCAGCATAGCGCAGTGTTTCAGAGAGAGATGTTACCAATCATGACCTGTGCACAGCACAACCTCCGTAGAGGTTACCATAACATATATAGGTATGCGGTGACACAGATGGCGCTGAGGGCCCTGTCAGCAGATAGATGCCGATCGGCTACAGCGCTTGAGGTAAACTGTAGATTAAGTGAGTCTAATAGGGTAAGCTTAATCTGGGGGCCAGGGCATTGCGGAATAGGGGGCAACGAAAGGGCAGACGAGCTGGCTTGCGAAGGCAGTGGTGGGGCTTTCGTTGGGTCCGAGCCTACCCTAGAAATTGCTCTCACTGTTGTCAGGGCTAGAATTAAAGACTGGACGACCAGTCGAATCCAGACTCAGTGGCAACATATGCAAAGGGATTGGCTCAGACAGTCCAAGGCCTTTTTAACAGCGCACTTTCCAAATCTTCTAAAACTGAATTTAAGATGATTAGGAAGATCCCTTGTCTCCTTACAAGGCACTAGATGATCAACTGTCACCTGCAAAGTATTGGGGTTGTAAGAAAACACATGTGCGCAGGTTCTGTCTGTGGTGAGGTAGATGAAACTGCCTAGCATATGTGGTCTCTCGCCGTGGAGCCTTGATCAGAGACAGACATTGACTCTTTGGCGACAGTTATCTGGAACTAGAGAGGGTGAAAGTTAATCTAGTCTAAACAGGGAGGGTCTTATACTTTATTAAGAGTCAAGGAACTATCTGAACCTAGTTGCCAAAGAAAGGGGGTAGGCATAATGAGCCTTTGGTGTGCCTAAGTGCTGCCTGTACTATGTTCTATAGATGGGGTTGAACACAGCCTTTGCCACCCCCTCGCTAAGGGCCTACCTCTGGCGCTGCTAATTACTGCGTTTGCGATTTCATTGCATATTGCTCTTCACACAAATTTTGATTGTTTCGAATGTTATTTTGACTAGTGGTTATTTATAGAACATTGAATATTAAATAGGAGTAAATATCTACATGTCAATTGCCTACAGCTGTGAAATGTAACACTGTCATTCTCGTATAAGATTTATCCAACTTTAACATGGCATTAAGGGGAAGATTATGGTAGGTATCAATTATGAGTTCTTAATTTATTCACTTTTATTTATAGAAAATAAACAACAAAAGTTTTCTAATACATCCATCACATTTTATAAACTGAACAATTTTGACGTATAGTTTTCTCAATCATTTTATGTCTATATCAAATGCCACAATATTGGAAAGGTATATATTATCACTACTTTACAATCAAACATATGGCAACAAATGATTAAATAAATACTGCATCAAATTAAAGAAGAAAATAAACCAACTTATTATCAAAAGCGTCTCTAGACGTTATAAATGACTTATATATAACTATAAATGTTACAATAATATTGGTAACTCATACATGGACACAAAGTAAACAAAAACTTAAAATACTTGTAAAACAGGTTTAAATATAATACATAAATCAGTTGCCAGAGGATTGCTCCCCTTATTTCATTGTAGTACTAAATAAATTTTCTTTGAGTCTTCACAACACAGTTGATTATTAAAGGGTAATCGATCGAACAATTTAGCCCTTATATGCACATTAATTAACAAACCTAACAATTCCTAATGGAATGAAACAGTTCCTAAAATTTACACATCCACGCGAACTACATAATTGAACAAAGTAATGACATCCCTGCCTTAGCTTTGGTGAAAATTCATAGTTGATACTATTTTTCAGTCATGATGAGCACATGTCCATAATCGCCTACATTAAGTTTGCGATATAAAAAAAATTCCCCAATGGTATAAAACGTAATGTGTAATGAAGTCAACAAGATTAACAAAAGCAGGTTGTTGTATAAGTAAATCACAGCTTATGTCGATGTAACTCCTTTCCGAGCAACCAGTAGATTTAAAACAGGATGCTTTTTGATGTAGCTCACTGCCTTTTTATGAGTCACCATCGTAAAATCATATCCATTACATTGCAATATTTTGTCATGAACACGCAATCCGCTTTTCGATGCTGGACTATCCTTGTGAACCTCGGTTACATAAATCCCCTATTAGGTACAATTGAATGTTAGACAACACAGTTAATACAAAATCGGTATAATACATTATCTGTGTAACCTTGAGGGCTCTTCCGATAATCTTGATCGATTCCTCCGCCAATTTTAAAGCCACATCTCATTATATCTCCGTCCACTTCTTTATGCAGTGTTATTGGAATCTGCAATGAAAGCAGAAATATGAAAGTAGGTAAAAAGGTTAGAAATCGAAATACTTACACTTAAGCATTCCATAGCCGTCCCGGCTTGGTGTTGAAATGCCATTTTTGCGCACATCTTTTTTGATTTTTTATTAATACCTTAAAATATAAATAATGGTAGTTATTAATCAAATAAAAATTTGTGTTAATAAATTCCGTAAGTAAACATTAGCAGGTACACTCACTGTGGGTGTATTTCTTTCGTATATTAAAACGAGTGCGCTTGCGCGCTCTTGAAGTCGTGATACCAAGTGATGTAAAATAGTCATATACAGAGCTGGGCAGAATACTTTCAAACAGTATTTGAATACTAAATAGTAAATACTTTACACAATTCAAAAGTATTTGAATACTAAATACTTTTACGTCAAGCACAAGCGAATACTAGATACAGATACATTGAAAAGTATTCAAATACTCTAAAAAATAAGTATTCAAATACTTTAGAATGTATTCGAATACTTTCAAAAGTATTCTAATACTATCAAAGGTATTCCAATACTTTGAAAAGTATTTTCATTAACTTACTCTGAAAAGTATTCGAATACAGTAAAAAGTATTCAAATACTTGTCACTCAAAAACATTAAAAATTTAAAATAGTATACTAGATAAAAGTCTTAATACTACTTAAAAAATCAAGTTATACTTTGTATGGGGTTAGCTTTTTTTATATTTCTATTGTTATATACCTATGTATAATTAAACTTTCTCATATAATTAATGTTTTACTCTCCTTTCTCAAAACATTTTGCCTGGTATTTTCAAATTTTTGTTGATAACATTTTTTTGGCATTGAGCCCTGTGAAAAATGATCGCCTACTTTCGTATAAGAAAGATGCATGGGCGAGTAACATTCTAATGGACTGGGAGTTCGCGCGCTTCCTTCACATGCATCTCGATACACGCGACATGCAAAGCGAAAAACTCCAAAAAATAAAAAAATGTTTATGACAAACTTAATCAAATTATAGTTTTAAAAAAGTACATCTATTGTTTTATTGACAATGCCGCTGATATCGATGTACTTTAAAAGTTCGTGCGACCTCCCCGTTTCTGATAAAATCGGAACTTACATAAATGGCTCTAGCCTCTACAAAAATTCGATTTTCGTACTTGAAGCGATTTCATGGGGTGGTTTTCGTTTTATTCGACTCCAAATTTGACCGTAACGAGAAATATCACAAAAAAGGGGCATTTTTTGCACTTTATGCGTTCTAAATGTAGTTAAATTTTATGGAAAAAATATCATTTAGGCCTAATCAACGCAAAATTAAACGAGCTTTAATTTGATACCCCTCCCATTAAAATAGGTCAACTGGTTATTTTTTTATTAATCTTTAAACTCGGGTGCACATACTTTTTGCGCCGACAGTAGTCTATAACTTTTGATTGAGAAGTCTAATCGAAAAAGTACAAATTGTTTTGTATTCTACGCACCAACATTAATAAGAAAAAGTGTTTTCCCGAGATATTTTGGTGCAGTCAATTTTTGGTAAAAATGGAAGGTTTATGCTGCCTTTTTTTGAGGCCCGAAAGAAAAATTGTCTCAGATCGACCCGGAAAAAAAATTTTCTTATAGAATGCGGCCTGTAGAATCCATAATTTCAAACAGTTCCAAGATTGGGCTACTAGTTCAAAAGTTACAGCCCTTTGAATTTTCTTTCGAAATTAGTTTCTAGTCTATAACTTTTGATTGAGAAGTCTAATCGAAAAAGTACGAATTGTTTTGGATTCTACGCACCAAAATTAATGAGAAAAAGTGTTTTCCCGAGAAATTATGATGTAGTCGATTTTTGGTAAAAAAGGAAAGTTTATACACTGCCTTTTTTTGAAGCCCGAAAATAAATTGTCTCAGATCGACCCGGAAAAAAAATTTTCTTATAGAATGCGGCCTGTAGAATCCATAATTTCAAACAGTTGCAAGATTGGGCTACTAGTCCAAAAGTTATAGCCCTTTGAATTTTCTTTCGAAATTGGTTTCTAGTCTATAACTTTTGATAGAGAGGTCTAATCGAAAAAGTACGAATTGTTTTGGATTCTACGCACCAAAATTAATAAGAAAAAGTGTTTTCCAGAGGTATTTTGGTGTAGTCAATTTTTGGTAAAAAAGGAAGGTTATACACTGCCTTTCTTTGAGGCCCGAAAAAAAATTGTCTCAGATCGACCCGGAAAAAAAATTTTCTTATAGAATGCGGCCTGTAGAATCCATAATTTCAAACAGTTCCAAGATTGGGCTACTAGTTCAAAAGTTACAGCCCTTTAAATTTTAAAGTGTTTTCTCGAGAAATTTTGGTGCAGTCGATTTTTGGTAAAAAAGGAAGGTTAAGTATTCAAATACTATGCGAAGTATTCGAATACTTTACGAAGTATCCAAATACTTTGCGAAGTATTCGACTACTAAATATTTGTGAAAGTATTTGAGCTACAAATTCAAATACTGCTTCCATAAAACTATTTAATTACAAAGTATTTGAATACTTTAAAGGATTTGAATACTAAAAAGTATTTACAAAATCTAATATTGCCCAGCTCTGGTCATATACAGTACGTTTCATAACAAATGTAAGTTTTTATCCTAAGCAAGCTGTCTGAAAGTCTATTTTTCTTGGTGGATTGGAAACATTGTTAGAACTATGATCTAGAATAAGAACTATATTTTGTCAACCACACTTGGTGGCAGCATTATAAATAATTTATTTTGGCCACAGTCTAGTGTGATTTTGCTCTTTGAATCTTTAGATGCCGCGATTTTTTGTTTATGAAATGGATTGCGTGTTAAGAAATCGATTACTTGCAATTGTTTATGATAACTGATAAGGTACAATTACTTGTTGAAAGAGAAAATATGCTTTCTGGAAAATGCGGTATTCACGAAGGTCGATTGACGTTATCAATAAAGGTGAAAGTTCAAATATGATTATTGATTATAAATAAACCAAATTCGAAAGAAACAGTATCCTCACATACTGCAGATGAAAGCGACAAGACTGACAAAACCGACGAACAGAACCGACAAGACGGGCAAGACGATCTTCACCATATTAGCGATTCTTTTAGATTTTGGCCTGTACTGTACAATCCAAATCGCCCAGAAAATTGAAAATCGGACTAGCAAATCAAAAGATAACAACTCATTCTGTTTTTTTTCATTGCAATACGGTTTTTTACCTTTAGCTTAAGCTTATAGCTATTAATGTGTCAAAGCGATCTTCACCTATTCGGCGATTCGTTTAGATTTTGGTCGGGGGTTAGAAATTGGTTTTATCTTTTATGGCCGATTTTGATGTGATGCCAAAACTGCACATCTGGAAAACATGCATAAGTACAAACATAACATGTGCAAATATGTACAAACATACGGAGTGGCGGAAAAGTATGGGATCAGCGAGCTACAGCCTTAACCATTCGTTATATTGAAAAAAGTGTGAGATAAAAGTTGTTTGAATATTTGATATTATATTATGCATGTTTTGACGTACACGGATATTTTGATTAATGACTTCATTTCAAGTTATGTTATGTTATACATACGCATTTTTCAATGTTTTGATTTAATTACATTAAAACTAAAATATCTTGAAATCTGAGAACTTCAGAGTGTTAAAACCCTATACCATTTTGAAGCACCTCGTCTAGACTCTAGAGGATCATAAAAAACTAAAACAATACAGGCTGTTCAATTTAAAAAATATGTTCAACATGACAACTTGAAATGACGTCATTCGAAAAAAATATCCGTGTACGTCAAAACATGCATAATATAATATCAAACAACTTTCATCTCACACCTTTTTCAATATAACGAATGGTTAAGGCTGTAGCTCGCTGATTCCGTACTTTTCCGCCACTCTGCATAGCACCTACAGTTGAAAAGAACTTACTAGTAGTTTACACAAAAATGTTTAGAATTTTTATTCCACAAACATTTAATAAATATTTCGATCAAATATTCATTTTAAAAGTTGTACCTAATATATCAATTGTTTTAATCTTTTATACATTTAACCAAAATAAAATATTTTCAAACAGATATGCTACAAAAATGTAGTGCTACCGTTAACCGTAGGGTTTAGTGAACAATGCACAGGTGGTATTCTACCAACAATAATATAGGACCCATATAGGACCCAAACATTTCGCATTTGCATTCCCAAACTATGCCCAGCATTTTTAAATCACATCCTACCAACTATCGTGAGCAAAATAGAACTCGCGCATTTTTAGATCAAAGTGGTAAGGGTTGAACTATCACCAGTCCACTTATGTATCATCCCCCGACAAACGCTAACAAAAATGCCAACGCAGTGAAAGTCTAAATATCTAGTCAGGTGAAATCAGGGAACATGGTTTATTCGAATATTTAAATCCGTGATCATCTTCACCGCCTTTGTTTTAAATAGGTACCTACGTATTGCAGGATCCTATATTCTATAGTATAGAGAAGGAGTGTAGAGAAGGAACAGATTCCATGCATATATGTGTTTTCTATTTAATTCTTGTCGGCGCATTGCTACCAGATGGCGATCGATTACTAAACGGCATTTTATATAAGTAATCAGTTTTCTAAAAATGTTCAAAATTTACCTTTGCGTTTGGGTTGCCAATGCCAGTAAAGCACCGAAAATAAACACATTTGCTTTTGATTTGTTTTCTTGTAACTTGCTTATTTTGATTATGCTATGTGGTACTTACCTAGAGCATTGATTATATATCGGTAAGTACTTATGTAAAAATAGAAGTATGCAAACGAAGCTGGTTGTGGACTAGGAAGATTTCAAGATCCCAGATCCCTCAGCGCAGGTATAAGGACCATATTCGAAGGTCTAAACGGTGATCATGGAGGACGTTTTGTGTAACATTTCAGAAGTTAAAAACGTCCCAAGATTCTTTTGAAAGACCCGAAGCAAAAATGGGGATAGTGATGCAGATATACGTCTGTCGCGGGTGGGACTCGCACATGTCTCCTGGAAACACACAAAGTAGCTGCGCGTGTGGCTACCGAGGGACCTTTGAGATGGACGGTTAACAATTGCCGGTTACTCTGCAGAAGGGTCTGGAACCGCTGCATTTGTTGCGCCTTCCCCGAAAGCTGGAGTTTGGTAAGGGTTGGACATGTAGATAGGTTGTGAAGGGACTAGAAATCTTTGGGAAAGGGCTATAAAGCTCTGGAAAGGTGCCTACAATACACTGGAAAGACAGTGGAAGGCTCCGGAAAGTGTTTAAACCGCTCTGGAAATGAACTTTAAAATTCCTGGAAATCTCTGGAAAAGGCCTGGTAAGCTCTTGGAAAAAATCTCGTAAGCTCTAAAAAAAAACCTAAATGTTCTGAAAACTTATCTTCAAACAGAAAACATTTAACTACATTTACACAATGTATTTGGATATATCTACAGCAAATGTACAATATTCGTGTATGATACAACTTTTAACGATATAATAATGTTATTATATTAACATAAATAGTCATTTAATTATATTACAGTTATTGGCAAGCGCCAAATTTTACATTTAATTTAAACCATTTTTACAAAAGAACTAAGCGAGGATAGCACATTATTGGGTAGGTAGGTACAAATACGTACGATATAATGGGTGATATACGATTTGGTATTTTTTTTTACAGTTTTTTAACATCGGTAAGACTACTAATGGTGCATTTTTAAGTGAAGTGCTGGAAACATCTGAAAGTGCTGTGATGTATAAACCAAGTTCTTTTAACAACGTTACATGAAGATGCGCCTCAGGTCTGATGGCGACGTTATCATGCTGCACTGCGGGCAGACTTTCTTACTACTCTGAAAAGGAAAATTGCATTTACAGTCAAGAAATATATCCATAATTAATTGTATAGGTTGCAATTTAAATTTTCCCCTTAGGTATAAATTGCACTTACAAGAGTGTGTAGCCAACATTCTTCGCAGTGCACATGCCAGCAAACTGTTGAAATAACTGGTTTCTTATAATGCTCCTGAAACAAAGTTACACATGCATCAGATACAGAGTTGATTTACTGAATTTGCTACCATTTTCATTTTTTTTGCAAAGGGACGAATGGAGCTTTCTATCGAAAAATATATCGGCCTAATCCATTCAACATTTGATGAATACTTGAGGAATAATGCAACAGTAAGTAAATATGAATACCTAAATTTGGTATCATTTACATAACAAAGTTCATTACCAACTTAAAAGTCTTTTCATTCCATACGAAGGGAACTTGATGAAACTATCAAATTAAAAAAATTATAGTCCCAAATTCAGTGAATGAAGTACAACGCTCAGTGATAAACAAACGCATCACTTTCCCACGTAAAAAAATATGCCTATTCTTGGGTGGAATAAAACCATGTTATTGTTTTGTTTAAACTTTAAGCCATCAACGTTTCATAGCATAAATAAATGTCAAAAATATTTTTTTCATTAACAAAAGTTAAAATGTTTACTCCATTTTCTTTTCTGAATAGACTGCATAAGCTATTCGAACAGTTCGGTAAAATTCTAAACAAGTCTTATAAAACTGCAATTAACTCAAAGGGTTATTGGTTCCCCATATCCATTCTATTTTATTTTGTTATTAAACACAACACACAATGACGATCTGGGTCAATTATTATCTGGAAAACGAATGCGAATAAATTTCTGTAAATTTGAGCTAAACTATTTTCAAAACTTTCTTTAAGCAATCCTTACATAATATGCAACTGCTCAAAAAATTATACGGGTTGCTCACGAAATTAGGTTTTGGAAATGAGAACAAAATTTTTATCAATGAAACCCCTCTTTTTTCTGTTCACCAATGGATTCTACAGTGTAAAATAATGGCGTTTGTAATTACATCCCTATGTCCATCATGTATGTACAGTTTTTTTTGGTAGAAAGTAGAAAATGTAAGGAAAGGAAAATTCTGCAGCCCTTGTCAGATTAGTTGGTTTAGTTAGCTTTCAACATCCTTTATTGCGCTTGGGTGATGCTAGAAAGAGTAGTACGCTGAACGCTAATTTCAAAGGCCTCGTGGATCCTTCGCGAAAAAATACATTGCCGTTTCGCTATGGTGCGTTCTACCTGGGGTACACTGTATACAAAGTACTGTTTAGGAACTATGCAAGAAAATTGGCACTCTCACTAAGTAACGACATTCACAGAAAAATTTATAAAACGTTTATTTTTCGATGGATTTTAACGGCGATTGATGCATCGGATAAAGAATAATTACATTTTACAAAATTACAAATTTTCTCCATTGAATGTCAGTACTTGTCAGGGAAGTGTCCAATTTGACATTTTTAAGCTAAAAACTTCCTTGTCGCCTGAAATTTCCAGTTATCACTAAAACGCACGTCGTTTCGTATAAATTAAGTCTTCCTAGTATCTTCCTCATTGTGATATTGTAACTATCGTCGTACAAAAATTTAATGAGATTATAACATTCATCTTCTTTAAATAAAGATCCAAAGTTAAATTTGTAATAGATAGATATCTAAATAACATATAAAAATCAAGTATTTAAATATGAGTAAAGATAATTTTGTTTTTTTTTCCAAGCTTTAACGCATCTGTGAAAAGTTCTGGACAGCCGAGTGTGTCTGGCGATACTGGATACTACTTTAGAATGATATTTTACATTTTACAAAATATATATAAAAATCAGCCAAACAAATTTGAGAAAAGTGACTCTTGTTTTTACTCACCTTTCTTAACTGGTACCTGTATGTTGGTCATAGACCCAACTGTGTTCAAGCCTCTACTCAGAACCTAAAGTTTTATCTATTTAAATATAAATAGTGTCTAATGGTTCTGGGATCTTAAGCGTAAGGGCAAAAACAGAATTGGATAAATGGTCCATAAATAGTTGTATAGGACATACGGGCAGGAAAGCCACGAAAACATAAGCTTTCTCACTTCGCGAGTTACTGTAAAAAATATCGATCGTGGCCCTGTTAAGTTTTACTATCGGTTCGATAGTGATCTCTGAGGAACGTAAGATCGAATTACAGGAACCCCCAAAATGAACTGGATCACTGCACTCCCAAAGTCATGTACTTTTGAGTAATATCAAAAGTTGCCATAAAAATTGTCTATCGTCGAGAAGAGGGAAGAGCAAATTTTCAAAGTAAATTCCCGTCAGAAGTTTTTTTAATAAAAACCCTTCGTTATAACTCCCCAATTCATTGTATTAAAATACGTTAGGGGAAAGTATTGGATGGCAGAGACAATCGAGCCGTATACGCAAACTTTTCAAATTGGGGTGTTTCCCATCTTGAAAAGCAATAATTTTTGAAACTAGGCCGAAAATTTTGCGATTACCACCAATTTTTCAGGGTGGCCTATGTATACAGTTTTAATTTTAATTTTGTAAGTACTTACCAAGCATATGAGGCATTTATACTCTTCTGGTTCTGTACTAGTAGCAGCATCGCCGGTCCCTTCCGCCTCCAGTTGGCGAATCCTATTCCTGAGTTCTTCAATGATTTGTGCCCTGCTGCTAGGCTCGGCGTCTGATGTGCTGACGTTACTATCACATTGTGGTCCAGCACTCTCCACCTTTACCTCGACATCCCCGCTCGAATTAACGGTGGCGACTTGCGATTGCACTGCGTCCTTATCTTTATATTTATCGTCGTTGGTTTTCCCAGCGATATCAGATTCAGTATATTGCGAAGGTCCAAATGAAGATTCTTCAGGTTCGTCGCCGTCAACTACTAAATCTTCACTGTCAATTTCCGTATCGATGCTTATTCGGCCGCTGCTGTTTGGTGTAGTTTCTGCGTGAACATTAGTAAAAGCTAGTAGGGATTGTATTTATTTAACTTACCACTAAAGCGCACAGGAAGAACATCCGACCTTCGTTTTTGGGTTTCAGTCCATTCTTCAAGCTCCGAATCGCCTTCAACGTCCACCGTTTCGTCTTCATCATTGCATAGGTTCTGAAAAAGACATTTGTTTAATCCAGAAATGAACCTTCCGCTGTACCTTTCTCAAACAATGTTCGTCTGAGCTCTTATGCATGTGGCTTACACAAATAGGGCAACCGTCGTCCGCTTTCCTTTTTCTTATTTTTAATCGCAGCCTTCCCTGTCTGTTCGTCTTGATTCGTTGAAACGTCTAAAATTAATTTAATTTACTCTCGAATCCAATTGTGCATTTATACGCACCTCCCACCGACCCTCAGGACCGCTGTCTCCAGGCAGAGCCGGCGGCCTTCCTGGATCGGGTCGTCTTTTTCTACTCCCAATACTTCCAGCTTCGCTAAGTTTGTAGAGACGTTCCAACTCGTGGATGAAATGCGCCTCCAGGTCTCCGGGTGAAATTCCCATTCCGCATACCGGACAGCAGGAAGGGTCTTTTTTCTTTTTTACAGAAATATCTTTAACAAATGAATATATGTAAAGTTTGAAACAAGCTGGGAAAGTTGGGTAGGTATCGATTTCGCTCGTTAAGTTTATATATGGAAAGGTAGGGGATACGAAATAGAGCAAGCTCATGAAAGGATTGTGAGATGAAGAGGATTGTACACAGTTTGGGGCTTAAACGAGTGTTGGTGTCTTAACGTGTATTTGCAAGAACCGATTGTAAATTTCAGCACGGCATGATGACTTAAGCCCGTTTCATCCCCTTTTAGCCGAAGCTGATTTACGTTGGGGTACACACGGGCACGGGTCGAGTCTGGCAATTAACAAGGTTAGCCGAGCTAATCCCATGAATTATGTCCGTGTCCTGACGGATCGTCGAGCCCGCAGGTGCAGCGCGGATCAGTGAATCGTATGCGGGCCCAAGCGGTATCGGCGCCACTCCCGCGCTAAACAAATCCGCCAATCTGCCCCCTGTGACTATTAACATGACAAATGCTAATATATTTCACAGCTTTCAGCGGATTTTCAGATGAAACTGATATATTTTTGTTTCTTAGGCGTCCTCTGTTTGTCTTTCTTTTAAGCAAAGTAGATCATTAAAATAGGTAGAAACGAAAAGTTTTTAAACGCCGCTTTTAAAACCGACTTGACACAATAATCACAATGTAACGATCGCAATAAAACTAAGTGCGATGTGCGAGCGTTGAATGTAAATTGTCAATCGTATAGCAATTCCGCAGATAATTATAATCGTAAAAATTCTGAAGTTTTTGTGTCGGAAACCGGTGTGAGTTGAGCTGTAAATCTGCACGTGAATTATATTCAGAAGGGTTTCCGCAAGAAGTTTTGGAATGTGATCGGCCAAATGTTACAGAGCGCGAGCCTAATTTTTTGTTTTTGAGTAATTTCATGAATTAAGTACAAAGTTACAAATTCAAAAGTTAGGTAGAAGCTTAGATCATACAATGATCTAAGGGTAGAAGTAATGCTGTGTTTGACGATATTTCAGAGACAATAACAGTTAGATGTTGCATCGGAACTCACAATAACCCATTTTCGTAAATTCCAAATCATCCAGAATTTTGCCGAAATACTAAGCTGTTTTTAACGTAGATAGCTTTTATTTTCAGATACTTTGTTTCGGAAGTAACGCTGAGCAAAACGATTTCCATTTAATAAACCGAAGACCTGTGTTATACCGGGTGATCAGAATCAATATACCTAAAGCTCGATTCTCCAACAATGCATGCACTTGAATACAAAAGTAGACTCACCTATTGTCACTGATTTACTAATCAGTTAAAGAAGAATATATATTATCATTATCATATATTATCAGGGATCAGGACTACATTTGAGAAAATCCAAATGCTGGAAGCATTTCGTGTAACGATTGTATTACAAATGGTTTAACCCTATTTCGACCCCGCTGAATGCGATTTTGCCCGTTGCCAGTCTGATAATGGACCGGATGGCGGTATTTTTACCACCCTGACGTATTCTCCGTCTAAAATGCCCGATTTTTATAATTCAAGTGCCTGGACCCACGTTTTTTGGGTCGAAAAAATGAATTGTCTGAAATCGACCGAGGTCAATCCATTTCAAATCGCCCAGGCAGAGTTACTGAACTTTTTTTTTATTTTCCTGGTTTTCAAGTCATGGGTTGCCTATAGGTAAGGAATCACAAACCACTATTTGAAAAAATGTTTAATCGTTATACTTTAAGACCATACATTCTTAGGAAGGAGAAGAGATTCACTAATTACTTCTGTGTGAAGTACTTATAATACTACCTGCAGCAAAAGTTTTAGTCTTGAGAATGCACTCCTTTTTTTCTATGGCTTTTCAAAAATGGGCGAAAGTATGGTAAAGTCAATTTTCTTCGGTCAGTATCTGACAAGGGACTGAATGAAAACAAGTGAAAATTTTACAGAATGTTCTTTACGCTAATGAGAATATCTCACAAAAGAATTATGACTGAGACTCAACCCCGTTTTTCCGTCAAATTCGCCAAACCACCATCTTAGAAATGGCTACCTCAAAAAACCATGGCTTATAAAATTTTTTCAAATAGTGGTTTGTGATCGCCTACCCATAGGGAACCTATGAAATAAAAACCAGAAAAATAAGAAATGCTGAGCAACAAATTATATTTATATTGGGTGTTTTCAATTGGATTGACCCACCGGAAAAAAATTTTCTTATAGATTTCCATAACTTCAAACAGTTTGAAGATTGGGCCATTAGATCAAATCTTACAGCTCTTTGAATTTTTTTCGAAATTGATTTTTGCCTACAACTTTTGATTGAAAGATTCAATTGACAAAAACGAGATGTTTTGGAATCTACGAAGTTAAATTAATAGGAAAAAGTGTTTTCCCTAACATTTTCGGTGAAAAGCAAGCACTTATTATTTATTTATTTATCTTGGGTCGGAAAATTGATTTGTATGAAATGGACCGGGAAAAAACATTTTCTTATACATTTTGTCCTGTAGAATCCATAACTTCAAACAGTTTGACGATTGGACTACTAAATCAAAAATTAAAGCCCATTGAATTTTTTTTCGAAATTGGTTTTTTTGTCCATAACTTTTGATTCCGAGGTCCAATCGACAAAATAGGAGATTTTGAAATCTACGAAGCTAAATTAATATGAAAAAGTGTTTTCTCGAACATTTTTGGGGTAGTCGATTTTCGGTGAAACTTGCCTATATTTTGGGTCGGAAAAATGAATTGTCTGAAATCGACCGGGAAACACACTTTCTTATAGATTTTGGCCTGCAGAATCCATAACTTCAAACAGTTTGAAGACTGGGCTACTAAATCAAAAGTTACAGCCCCTTGAATTTTTTCGAAATTAGTTTTTTGCCTATAACTTTTTATTGAGAGATTCAATCGACAATATACGAAACGTTTTGGAATCTACGAGGCTAAATTAATCGGAAAAAGTGTTTTCCCGAACATTTTTGGGGTAGTCGATTTTCGGCGAAATGCATTTTAGGTCGGAAAAATGAATTGTCTCAAATCGACCGGGAAAAAAGATTTTCTTATAGATTTTGGCCTCTAGAATCCATAACTTCAAACAGTTTGAATTTCTTGAATTTCTTTGAAGTTCAGGAATTTTCTTAAATGCCAACATAGGTCATGTAATAAGTCATTAGAAAGCTTATTTTTTTCTATTTCTCACTACCTTCAACATGTGTGATGTTCGAATCCTTCCGAACCTGAGGTAGGCAGTACACTACAACCACCATACCAACACCAGCAGCTGCTGCTGGCATGAGTTTGCCAATATTGAGGCGTTCGTTGCTGGGATCTGATTATAGCAACGCCGGATAACAATGGGCAAGTATTGTGTTCTACATAACATAAGTATGAGAGAGAATTTTACAGAAATAAACCTGCAACACTGTAGGGCGGCTGCTGTTACCTTAGGCAGACGCCTCACTGTAAAGCAAAACATGGCCCTCCAAGCCATCCAAAAGGGTTATCGCAACCCCAAGGTCACGGATATCCCCTTTACAAACATCTCCTTGGAGAAAAACTTAGAGAGCACCCTTTCGGAGAACGCCTCTTGTGTCCTGTGGACTTACAGGACAAAGTAGATATTTTTATCGACTCTATTGTGGAGATATTTGAACAGGCATGTCCTCTGAGGGCTGCTAAGCCAAGACGACAGCTATAGCATATTTGGTGGTGTAGAGAAAAGCTATAGTCGAATGTAAAATTACCTCTAGGTTGGTTACCGAATGGAGCAAATGCAAGCATCAAAACCCTTGAGCTCGCATATAGTTCAAAGGGCATGCTGGAACGAAAGGTATAGGTAGTAAGAAAGTCAACTGGCCTCAAAACAGGTCTTTTATGGTCCAGAGCCGGCTCTTCCACTTTCCACTTAACAGTTGCAACTGTAAGAAATTTAATAACTGAAGACACACAGGGCCAGGTGGAACGTGATATTAGATTGTCGCCATGCGAGAGAAGCCTTCAGAGGACCATCTCGTAGCTTGGCGCGTTTTTTCACAGTGATATCAAGAATACTCGTGGCATACTTTCTGGGCACTAAAAACTAAACAAACATAGGCACCCTGTACAAATAGTTCGATTTCCAACCCCCTCAGATAATTTGTACAGTTATTTTTATCAAAAAGCTCTCTTTTGGGTTGCGATATGCCAACATCCACTAAGTGGTGTGATAAATGTGATTAACTATGCTTTAGCTCTAGCTTTTTGCTAGACTGATTAATCTCTTACAAATTAATAACAGGTGTGTTAAGGAGAGTTCAATTCGTTAGAACGTAACACGCGATAAGGGTTACTCACGTCTAAATCGTGCCAAATATTAAGATTTGATTAGAGTTTATCTACCAGATAATTTCAATATAGATATATAATTTATGCAATAAAAACAGATTTGATGGCGGATTCGATAAATCGATTTCGTTTTTCTCGTCATCTTGCAAACGATAGAAAAAGAAGAACAAACGAATGCAACGGATAGGGTGACTTTGCTAATTTAAAAATACAGAGGGTGGCCTCATTGAGTAATCGAATCGTTACTAAATAGTGTTTGAAGCTTGAAATCAGAGATTCGAGTCGTTTGGAAAAAATTAAAGGCAATAACAGTCACTTAGCTCGTAGTTTTCTAAGCACATAAGCTTTCGTAAGGCTATTACACACACTTAAATAATGTAGCAGCGCGCAGCAAGGGACATTTTATGAAGATATTAATTTTCGAATTGTCAAGTAGTGTTACCGTTATTATACTTACAAAGTAATAACCGTCTGTAAGGTTAGGAAAAGGCAGCCTAAGCGGTCCAAATTAATTAATTAAATCTGTTATAAACACTAAGTGGGTCGTCAGCGTTAAGAAGCACATTTTAGATTTGTAATTTCGCCATACTTGGCAGATATTGGCTTATAAAGCAAACGTGACGGAAATTATCCAATTTTTAAAGAAATTGATTAAACGAAATGGGGTAAAAAGCCTTGTTGAAATTTGCATTTGTTAAAAT